AAACACATACAAAGAACAACAAGGGAGTGAGAAATATCTCACTCGGTTCCAGGTGCATAAATAAAGGTTAGATAACACACACAACAAACATAAGTCACATGTAAATAATATACATATAGAATCAATATCACATGTACATTCATTTATCATGCAATGATGTCATGGAATCGACTCATAAATGCATGCACGTGGTGCCATACAGAAGTTTCACGTTTCTCATCATTTTATCACTGGTGACCAAAGGTACACCTAGAATAGCTTGTTACATCACTGGTATACAGCCTAAGCGACATACCTGGAATAGATCATTTCATCTCATAGCTTGTTACACCACTAGTATGCGGCCTAAGCGGAACACCTGGAATGAGTCATTTCATCACATAGCTTGTTACATCACTGGTATGTGGCTTAAGCGGCACACCTGGAATAAGTCATTTCATCACATAGCTTGTTGTATCACTGGTATGCGACTTAAGCGGCACATCTGGAATAAGTCATATATGCACATGATGCATGTCACACATTCACTATTTTATTAACTCAACATTTCACTTGTCATGAAATTTCATGTCTCATATCATCACATTTCACATTATCATTCACATCATGTCTCATGTCATTTGTTCATATTTTACATAATCATATTCATAATTGTTCCTCATAGGATTCCGTACAAGAACCCACAGAGCACTCTAATTCATATCAAAACATATTTAATTTTGAAATCAAATACATATTTACACTCTACATTACACAAGGAACGCAACAGAGTATTCAGAAAGCAAAATAGAAAATATTCATATTTTGCCTGTTTCTCACAAGGTTCTCTCAGGAACCCGTAAAACACTCTAATTTCATATTAAAACATATTCATTTTCAAAATCAATCACATATTCATACATCACATCCAACAAGGAACACAACAGAAGAATCAGAAAGCAAAATAGAAAACATTCATATTTTGCCTGTTCCTAGAAGCATGCATCAGGCAGGGGATTGGGGGTCAATCCTACTACCCAACAATTATTCCCACACTCCCGATTGAGGTTTCTCACTCCCCCCTTACCTGGATAAGCAGAAGGCGAAGTTAGAGCGGAATCTGGTTGATCTCCTTCTCTTGGTTCTCCTTGGTCTCCAGAGAGTGTGTCCAGAAATAGTGTCAGAGTGCTCTATTTATAGATTTCAAGATTGGCCAGAATGGCCTGTTTCAGATACGGAACGGCCCGTTCTGGATTCTTTCATCATGTGGAAAATTCACATATAGAGTGACTCGTTCTCAAACCAAAACGGTCTGTTCCAGAGATGAGTTTCAACTCACAACTTCCATATTTGGAACAGACCGTTCCCAACTAGGGTTATAGGTCATTTTGGTGGTTTGGAACGTTCCGTTCCAGTTTGAGAACGACCCGTTCTAGGCAACCAAAAATAGGTCTTTTTAGTAGTTTGGAACAACCCGTTCCAATTTGAGAACGGCCCGTTCTGCCCTACTAAATTACTCTCAATAAATCTTATGAAAATTACTAAATTACCCTCCATAAAAAATATGAAAACTAGAGTGTTACACTACTAAGTTAAACTCAAAAGTTTAAACCTTAAAATTGTAAACACCAAAATTCTATGTCCTAAAATCATTAATCCTAAACTTTACCCCCAAAATATCAAAATATTTTTTAACTTTATAAAATTATCTAAATAAATATTAAAAATTTTAGATATATCAAATATAAAAATTTTAGATATATCAAATATAAAAATTTATTATAAAAAATTAAGCTACTAAACTAAATTAAATTTCAAAATCGTAAATTCCAAAACTTTATATCCTAAAATCATAAATTCTAAATCCTAAATTTTAATCCATAAATATAAAATATTTTTTAAATTTATCAAATTATCTAATATAATTAAAAATTTTAGATATGTCAAATATAAAAAAAAAAAAAAAACATCAGAATAATTACAAGGTTTATTAACTCTTTTTACTAAAATATAAATATGTCATAAGAAAAATAAAATAACTAAACTAAGAACTACTTAAAAGATTATGTGTAATTTATATTTAAAGTTAAAAGATAAAAATTTCAAAAAATTAATTAAGTAGATATTGAGTTTAAAGAATTAATTAAATAGATATTTCATCTAAAATTTAAAAATAAAAAAAGCCCCGTTACAAAAATATCACCAAAATAATCATGATATTTAAAAATTATATTCCCCAAAAATAATTTAGTTACAAGAAAATTAATAAAATTTAAATATAATAAAATTAACAAAATTTATTTATTTACAATATTTATACCTATTATAAAATGAATATATTTTGGTAACCACTCTTTTGATTTTCATTTTTTTAGTAGACCATTATACACCTTGAATATGAAAAAAATTCTTACATTCTCTTTAATTAATTATACGCAACTTCTAATATTTGTTTGTGTATTACTATTAAAGATACAAAGTGCCTCAACCTCTCTAGTAGTTATAAAAAGATTGAATTTTGTTATCATTTCTCAGTTTGAATTTGCAAAAATATTATAACCAATTATATATATTTTATAAATACTTATAATAAAATAAAAAAGAATATATGTGAGACTATAACCAATTATATTTTATATGTTTAAATGTTCTCATTCTCTTTGTAATTTTAGAGAACTTAAACATAATTAAAATATAAAAATTTAGTTTTATAAATAAGTGTATTTTAAATATGCGTGAAAACAGAAATGAATACTGAAGTATACGGATCTTATTTTCCAAAATCTAAAGTAGTTGTTTATTTACTAAATTCAATAATCAGTCCAATCTATATCTCTAATTGTTTTATAAACTAACATTTTTATTTTATTTTCTATTTAACTTTTATTCGCACTTTGTATCTTCAATCGCAATATATTCTTTTTAAACTTTGAGTGACTATTAGAATTTTGACTGTAAGTTATTTTTTAGTGCTCTAAAACGTTGTTCTTAATTTTATCTTATAATCTTATTTAAAAATTGATAAATTTAAATATACTTTATGGTAAGTAAGATTTCTAAATTCTTGAATTATTCTTTGTTGTCTTTAGTTATGTATTAATAATTACATGTATACTCACACTTTAATATACTCAAATACATTACTTATTTATCATATAATTTTACATAAGTGATTTGTTATATATATAACATAGATATGTCTATATGATGTACATATCTAAAAATAAAGAAGCTTTTTATTAGAAGTCCAACTTTTATGTATAATTGTTTTCATTCTTCTTATTGTTTGATATAATTTTTTTGTTTAATCTTTAAAATACTTAATTGAATAATATAATATTTTTCTGTTATTATGGTTTTAATTATTTTATAGATTAACTTTTACAATTTATTTGTGTAACTGTATAGAGTATGATGTTTACGTTTTATATGATATTATATATTATTCAATTAAATATCTTTTATTAAAAGTAAAATGACCATTTTTTTGTATTACAATAATTTATAGATAAATTTTATTTGTGTTTACTATAAAATTTTGCATCATATTTATTTTTTTTACACATTTTCATCATATTATTTTTTTTATATTTAATATAGAGTTATTTAAACAATATTTATCATAAATAATTAGAAAAAGAAATCCTCGTGCATATGCACAGGTTACTTAGTAGTTTAAATTAAAGACAATAATATTATAACAATAGTATTTCTTTTAAGAAAATAAAATTAGTTTATTTAAACTAAAAATTAATTAAAATATGATTTAAATTCAAATTTAAAGATAACAACATATTTATAATCTATAACAATAATTAAAAATTATAAATTCACTAAAAATTAAATTAAATTAATATAAAGATAATAATATACTTGTAATAGTAACAATTTAAATTTTAAAAACTTAAAATCATAAAAATCAAACTCTTTTGCACAAACAAGTGTGAAAAAAAGTATTTTGTCTCTCCCTATATTTGGCTTGATAAATAAAATAATTTAAATAATTAAAATTAAATATGTATGAGTGATTAACAACTAAAAAGTGAATATTTTTTAATATTTATTTAGAAATGGTGAGAAGTTTAAAAAATAAATTTATAAATTTTTTTAAAAAAATAACTAAATAAAAAAATGATAAAAAAAATGAGTATTTTAATGTATGTTTGGATATAAATTTATAATTACTTTCAATGAAAAAAAAACATATGTTCTAATATAAAAAAAGTAAAAACATCTGAGTATATAATATTTCTTTTATTCCAAGTTTTCAAGTACAATCTTAAAAGTTAAAAGAGTACTTTCAAAAAAAAGTTAAACTAAAAATTTATTATCTTTATTAATAGTATTGTATAATAAATATAGATTATGGGTAATTATTTTTTGATACTAGAGAAAAATAGAAATTATGCAATTAACCATTATATAATTAAATAAGATATGCAAAACAAATTAATGGAAAAATAGGGAGCACCTCACCTTCCAAAATAATTACTTAAATTTACAACATATAAATAGTTTTTTTTTAAATAATATAATTGAAATAGATAACCTTCAAAATATAATGTTTGTCATTGTTACCAATTAATTCAAATTGAAACACACTAAAAATCATCCATTAATTCAAATTCAATTACACCGAACAAATTCTATACCAAATCAAAAAAATTATATTCCATCAGGGAAACGTAATTTATCTTCTCATAAAATCATAATCTAATCATTATTAATCCATATTTTATCTCTTAATCATGATAACAAATAAAAAAAAATCATTAAAAAAAACTAATAACTCAAATAAGCAAGAAACCCGACCCGACAACCCGAAAGAGAAGAAAGTGAGTTCCCGCTCACATTTTAAACGCCCGCCTTTGCACTCTGCCACTATTGTAGCCGCTTTCCACGCGCTGCATTCCCAGTGAGTGAGAAACCGATAAGAGATAAAAACCGATAAAATAAGAAAAAAATTAAAAAAAAACAATATAAAAAAAAAGAAGCAAAATCTTTATATTGTTGCTAACGAGTTGCATTATTGATCAGGGTTAGTGGTGGTGATACAGTGTATGTAGGGTTCTGAAGAAGACGACGAAAAAACTCTTTTGATAATGGAGTCTCCAGAACCTTCCAATAACAACAATGGCAGTTCTTCTGCCTCTCCTCTAAACGGCAATCACAACGATTATGAGAAATCCTCTAAAGTACAAGTTACTTCAACTTGTTAACTATTATATTCTTTTTTACTTCTTAAAATCGTTGATATCCCAAGATCACTTTAATTAGGGCTTTTGCAAGACTTTCAATGAATTATGGTTGTTTTTATTTATTTATTTCAAGGAGTGAATTTTACGGTTCTTGATTTTTAGGTGAAGGCTAATTCGAAGAGCATTTTGGTGTTTGGGATCATTGGTAGTTTTTTTTAGTGATGAATGTGATGGAACTTTGTTTGATTTCATCTTATTTGTTTTTTTTTTTGTTCATTGTTTGCTGATCATAGTGTCCAATGCTAATTGTGTGTTTGGAGTTAACGAATTCAGTTCATTGAATTGCATACATGCATTATTCGAAGAAACTTGTTTTGGATGATGTTTGTTTTGGACCTTATTGTTTGTTTGAGGGTTTGTGAATCTTACTGTGTTTGACTTTGTTGGACTCAAATCTGTTTATTTTTGTTGGTTATGGCAGTGACTTTGACTGGCTGTTTCCTAAAATTGTTTTGGTGATGATGTTCTATCCTCTCTAAAGTTATGAAGCCTCAGGTCTTATTAATGCGTAAAATGGTTAAAAGAAATAAAAGACCATGGATTAGAAGTGTTGATAGACCTTGGACAATTTTTGCATGTATGCATTGTGATGACACGTGTTGATTATTGATTCAGACCCTGATTCTTCAACTCTCTTTTATGTGCAGTAGTGATGTTTAGTGCATTAGTTAGCTTATCATGTTTTCAGATTGTTCCATTTTATTTCAATTGCAGTATCAAATCATGAAATACTAAATGGTATTTGCGTGGCACCTTTTCAATTTCAGGATTCGCCCTTTTATAGATACGTGAATGCTTTATCTCCAATACCCACCAAGGCTCCTCATGCGGCACAAGGTTTTCTAGGGCTCAATTCTCCACCCCTTGTATTCAAGTCTCCACGTATTTCTCACCGTGAAACACAGCCCATGGAAAGGTTTGTTACTTCAATAGTGTGTGCTTGTTTAGTTATCGACAATGCATTGGCTTTTCATTGACAAAGTTTGTCCATACCAGGCCCCAAGGCACTCAGTCACTCAGTGGAGATATATATCAAAGTGAAAATGGAGGCAACAGTCTTGGTGTAGCTGCTGGAGATTCTGGAAAATCAAATTCTGAACAGCCACTGCCAGAGAGGTTTGTAGCTGACACTCAGAAGGTTTTTGACTCCAAGAATGATACAAATGCTCAAAACAACAGTTCTCTCCTGTCTATTGATGAATATTTGGCTGATCCTGGGGATATTGATCAAGTGTATTCAGATGACAATGGTGTGGAACAATCTACAGATGCAGCTGAATCATCACTAAATGGCCTAACTCAGTTAGATAAAAATATATCAAAGGATGGTCCTGGTGATAAAAATAAGGAATCTTTGGGTTTGTCAGAGGATTCTAATAAGGTTTATCAAGAAAAATCAGCATATGGTCAAGAAACTGAAAAGATTGAAGGGGAGAAAAATGATGTTCAATGTGCTTCTCAAGATCCCACAAAGTTAGAGTCCAATTTAGCTGCAGGTGATTTTGATAAACAATATTGTGATGATCCACATCCCCAGGTATACCATAGGTCCTTGCTCTCTCTCTCTCTCTCTCTCTCTATATATATATATATATATATATATATATAATATGTTAAATTAGGATCCAACTTCTCTAAAGTGAGGGAATTGCACTTTAGAGAATAAAGTGCAATAATAACTATTGATTAAAAAATCTATGGTTGATATTACAATTAATTTTATATTTTATTTTGAAGAAATTTGATTTTATAACAAATCTTAATCATTGATTTTATAATTGTGAGTGCACTTTATCTTCTAATTCCTACCTTTAGAAGAGTGAAATCTGTTAAGTTAATGTAGGGTAGTCAGTATTTATAGATATGATCATTGTGACCTAGATGTTTCTCTTTCTTTCTTTGTATCTAAATGTTTAAGCTTTAGCTTGAGGAAAATTATTGATAGGATAATAAAAACTTTACACCTGTGTGGATGTCTGATCCTCTTCAGGATGTTCAAGGGTGTGAAGATTACAATGAGACGGTGTCAACCTCACATGTAACTGCAGAGAATATCTCGCAAGAAGGTTCAGAGGTAATCAAACGTTTTGTTTTTCTTTTGTCCTTTGGAAGCAGGTTAACATTTGTTTGAATTTTGTTGTGATTTCATGCTTTTCTTCCTTTTTAAGTGTCATTGTTTATGTCAGTGTGTTTCCTGTATTTTTAATCTGAATAGTTTATTTCAAGGTCAATGATTATTGACTAGAATATGCGGCTTTTTTTTTTTTTTTTTCTTTTGTCATTACTCATTTGGCATCTATTATCACCAATTAAGATTTAAGAGACGAGAATTGGATTAAGATCTTCTGTAGTTCAAAATTGAACTGCATGAGTCTTAACCATTGATTAACACTTTTACTAAAATAAAATATTAATAGTAACATATAATAAAATAAATTTATGGTGGAAGATTGAACTGCACCCGTTGCAGTTTTTCTTGAACTGTAGAGTTGATATTTATAATCTAATGCGTTTATAGAGCTTTGCATGGTGACAGTAATATTTTTAAGGAAATTAGCAGCAGCGTATACTCCATATCTCTAAGGCATATGGGTAACTGAAATCGAACATCTGCAGTTAAAAACTTTCCTCCATTTTTCTGCTTATTAAATTTCCTTCAGTTGGAGCTTTGAAATTTTGTTGACATGCAGTAATTGCATTTTCTCAGTCAATCAAGATTGTTAAAAATTGAGTCCTGATGAGATATCACATCATAGATGTCACGGTTTAAGGGCATCTAGTAGTATAAGGAAATTTTCATGCATGACTGTCTTTTTCTCTCTGGCCTCGGAAGATATTTTAAACTAAGACATGTCAGCTATAATTCGCTTCCTAAAAGGTTTTAGTCCCGTAGGATGAAATTAGTGTGTTTCTAGTGGCAAATCTGCTTGGCAAATGACTAATCTATCAGAGTATTTTTGTAGGAAAATATATTGCGGTCAGATTGCCAGGAATTTGCATATTATTTTTTGTTTGAGTCTAACGATTTTCTTTGTGCAATATAATAATTATTACATATTTACAAGCACTGTAGGCTACTCTAAAGTACCATGGCATTCGTAGACGCTGCCTACAATTTGGGGAAGCTGCTTCCAATGCTCTTGGAAGTAACAAGCCTCATGTGAAACTGAATGCAACTTCAAACGAAATGAAAATGGTCAAGTTGTCTGAACCTGTCACTTCCTTGTGTCCTCAGCGAGGTAGTGGAAACTTACCTTTGACAGAGACAGGAATTGGGGTTCATTCAAATGGTTTCATAAATGCTATGCCAACTGGTCAGGCTGCAACTACGGGTGTGAGATTGTCAGAGAGTTTACAAGTGATGAAATCCGCACCTTCAATAAGGTTACAAAGAATGGAGAATGTGAAGAGATCCATACTTTCATCTAGTTCTGGCAGGCCATCATTAGTTGAAACAAAAAATGAGAGCCGTGAAATTGTTACTTCAGTATCTTCAGATGCTGAAAATTCCGAGGATTTCAACCAACCTCCTAACCCCCGCAAGAAAAAGTCAGTTTTTTTTTCTCTATAATAATACATTATTTCTAGTTTTCTACTCTTTATATGCTTATAGTTACATCAGCAAATATTTCATTGCTCTTCAGGATGAGAACATCAGTCATTGCTGATAACAATGGCTGTAAGCGGTGCAACTGTAAGAAGAGTAAATGCTTAAAACTGTAAGTAAATTTTTGTATCTTTTGGTATTTCACTTTATATGATATATGCAGTGTTCGTCTTTTTGATTTGAGCACCTTGCAGTTATTGTGATTGTTTTGCTATTGGAGCCTACTGTACCAACCCCTGTGCTTGCCAAGGCTGTTTAAACAGACCAGAGTATGCAGAGACAGTTTCTGAGACTAAAAAACGAATTTTAGCTCGTAACGCGAATGCGTTTGCTCCCAAGATTGTAAAGGCTAATGCCGATAATATGGTATTCACGTGTTGTATTTTTGTTCATTTTTTCAGTTTCATAAATGAATTGACAATTTTATGTTGCTTCTGTAGGAGGATGAAAATCTGACGACACCATCATCAGCAAGGCACAAAAGAGGTTGCAATTGCAAAAGGTCAAAGTGTCAGAAAAAATATTGTGAATGTTATCAGGTTGTGTATATTATTCCCATTTCTATATGCTCTAAACATTTGACCTGTTTAATCTCCTGTATCTGCTAATAGAACCTTTTTCTTTCCAATATTTGAAAAAGGCTAATGTGGGATGCTCTAGTGGATGTCGATGTGAGGGATGCATGAATGTCTATGGCAAGAAAGGTAAGACTTTATATTATGAATAGATATTATAAATTCTAAATGCACCACAAAATTTAGTTTAAATTGTCCAATAAGTAGAAATGATATGAAATGAATGTTGGGAGGTTTTGATGTTTCTTAATACGCATCCTTGTAAGGGAAAGGGTAGAGACCGCGTTTTTAATGACAAATTTGTAATTCAATAAAGAAATTCGACCCAAATCCCACCTACAACTAAGCCCATTTGGCTTGCTTTCGAATATGTTGGTCATGATCCCATATGCCACTGCTTTGCTTTACGGTGCCCGTGTAATAATAATCTACTATGCCCTTTTGGAGGTGGTGGGTTTATTGTGAAATGTGAAGGGACTCCTTAAGTCTCGCTAACTGGTTATTGAAGCATTATTAAAGTATAAGGTTAATTATTTGAATGGCAAAGTTTGGGGAGGGATAAATTTCACTAAGATATGCAACTACGAATATTGGTTAATGTAATACCCATTTTTTAAATTCAGATTATGTTTCAATGGAAAAACGTGCTTTGAGTAAAGAAAGGGTGAGCAACATTGTTCAAACAGGATCAGACAGCACATCTCACAATAAACTGGAAATGGTGGCAAGCAAGACAAATTATGATGCCTTTTCACCTATAACGCCATCATTTCAATTCTCTGAGTAAGATTGCTTTCACTATAAATCCTCCAACATTTAATACAAGAAATTCTGGTCCTGAATATTTTGACATATCGGCTTTTTTGCTTTGATCGACTTTTTTCCATTTGTCCAGCCAAGGCAAGGAGGCTGCAAAATCCAGAGTTTTCTCCTCAAACTGTCTACCATGCCCTGAATCCAATGTCAGCATGATTGCATCTAGTGCAAACTACACTAGTTCTTCAGAGAAATTACACAGAAGGCATGCACTTCTGGAAACAAATGAGATGTTGACAACCGCCCCCTATGATTCGCAAAATAATTGCAACAATGTTGACATGATGGATCAGTATACTCCTGTGTCTCATCCTGAGCCATTGTCTGGCGCTTCATCAGTCTTCTCTGGAGCTAATGAGTGGACAAATATTCCTCAATCCCGACTCTCCCATGGAAGTATTCGCCAGTTACCTAGCGGCTCTCTTCGTTGGCGTAGTTCCCCATTGACCCCAAGCACTGGAGTAGGTGAAGCACATTATTTACAGTGTCCTGAATCAGATAACAGGCTCTTTGACATTCTAGAAAATGAAACCCCTGATACACTGATGCAAGCTTCAACTCCCATGAGGTCTGTAAAAGTAAATTCCCCTACCCAAAAACGAGTTTCTCCTCCCCAGATTCGTTATCATGGGTTTGGATCAAGCTCCTCTGGAGGACTCAGACCTGGCAGGAAATTTATGTTGAAATCCGTACCTAGTTTCCCTCCATTGTCTCCTTGCGTTGATTCCAAAGGCAATGACAAAGAAGATTTGGGTGACAGTGAGAGCAAGTGCAGCAACTCAGCTAAAGAATGCCCTCAATGAAGTGTTACACAGACAATCTGGTGTCAGACATCTTGTCTGCCATAGGTATGTTGACAAAATTCTCTTGTTATTTTGTTTAAGATGTTTTAGAGCCTCAGCATTTTAGTAACACTTTCTTCATTGTGGCAAACAGGTTGCTAAGTGACTTATTGTGTGAACAGTCAATGCAAAATTGAAGTTATGGCTTCGTTTTCCTCCGATGTCTCTATTTTTTTTAAGCATTTAGGAAGTTTTAGCTTAGTAGTTTCTTTTTGGATCAGGTTCTTCTTGATCTCCGTTTTTTTGCACATACGTACATGGAGTCGTTCTTCAAGGTAAGTTTGCCTTGTTAATTAGTTAGGTTAAATAAATAAAACATTACTCATTGAGTACAAAATTGTTATTATACATTGTTGCTAATCAATAGTAGCATCTTATAAGTTGGGCTCCTACTTCGCTTTGATTGTTTAGTTTTGGTGTACATGTAGTATTTGCAAAATGTGGTATTCGAGGAATTAACTTCCATTTTGAGCAAAGAATTAATTCCTGGTTTGAGTAGTAAGCATGAACATAGATGTTGAATCTTATCCAGTTTTAAGTTCAGTGTTTGGTTATATGTTTTAGCTTCCTGGTTTTTCGTATCTTATGTTTGCATTTAAGGGGATAAAAAAGAGAAGAGTGAGAGATTTTAAATTAATTTTTCTCTTGTTCTCTGTTTTCTTTTCTTTGATATTCTCTTTTCTGGAACACTTCATCGTACTAATAGGCGTAAATCATTAAATCATTAAAGCATCTTCAACAGGAGTAACTCTTAAGAGTTGTTTCGTGCATGAATTTATGTGTTTCATAGTCCCTACTGTGACACATCAACATTAAATAATTTACTCTATTTTTACTTTATAAGTTTCTTCAAGTAATTCTAAGAGCATCTCCAATAGGAATTGCTTGTCCTATGAAGCAATTCAAGTCCCAGTTTTTTATCATTAGAAGACTCTGACGTGACAACATGAGTTGTTTGAAGAAGAGAGAGATTTGTTTTCTAAAGCAACCGTTCCTTATCAGATCTTATTGAACATATTTGGGAACGTTTCGAAAATAATAATGATGAAAATTAATTTTGCATAATGTTTATGTATTTATTATTGCTTTATTTTATTTTTATACTTATTGTGTATTTTTTCTTGTAATTTATTTTCTATTATAGTGCAATTATCTTTTTTAATAAAAAATTAAATTTAGTTCATAAATAATTAGAAAAAAAATTTAAAAAGTTGAATTTCTTAAAGTTTCTTTTTCTTCTTCTCCCACACCTTTCCTTCTCTTTCTTTTGTATTTTTTTTCTTCTTTCTTCTTCTTCCTTCTCTCTTCTTCTTCCCACACCTCCTTGTTGCCCTACCTTTGCCACCATCGCGCCTTCATCACCACTATGCCTATGTCTCCGTCGTGCCTTCGTCACCACGTACCTTTGTGTCGTCTCACCTCCACTGTCGTCAGGTCTTCTCTTCCCTCCTCCCCTTCTCTTCTCTTCCCCTTTTTCTCTTTTTCCAGTTAAAAATTAATAATATTTTATTTAAGCAATTGTTGCTTATACAAGCAACCCAAAGAAAAATTTAAGTAACTCTCATGTCATGTAGGATTCCTCCAATGATAAATTTTTTGAAGGATCTGTTGCTTGGGTTAAGCAACTCTCGGAGTAACTGCCATTAGAGATGCTCTTAGTATTAACTTATGTAGATTAGTATTAACTTATGTAGATTATGTAGATTTACATATCTTTAATCAAATATGTATTTTTACATTAAATTTATTTCTTAGCTTATATATTTGATTACATCAAGTATTATCTTGATTTGTTGATATGAACTAGAACGAATTTGTTTTTCGCATACTTTTAAAAAAATTACTTTTTAAAATATTAAAAATACACTCCTGAAAAAGTATATTTTTGAAAGTATGTTATAAAAAAAATTGAAAATTACTTTTCAGAACATTAAAAAAATATTTTTTAAAAGTATTTTTTTAAATTTGTTTAATGGGATACATGTGAGGGTATTTCCGGAATAAAGAAAGAAAAAGAGTGATAAAGGTATATTATTAGTAGACAAAGAAGTATTTACCAGAAGCCTTCATGCTTTGAGTTTTATTAGCCCAAAACTTGTCACCGAGATATAGACATTGATTGAAGTCAACATTCTATTGTATAAGCATTATAGTGTGTTTGAATGGAGAATTTAAATGGAGTAATTCATTTATTTGAAGAATTTTAAATTTTTTGAGGTGAAATACCTTCTTTAGATAGAGAATTTATAAAGAATTTGAAATTCAAGTATTTATGAAAATTCTTGAAATAATAGAATTTCAAATTCTCCTAAAAAATTAAGAATTTGAAATTTCTCATATTTTTTTTCTTCTTATTTCACTTATATATTTTATCTTATTTCTTATCTCCTCATATTTTAAATTATTGAATATTCAAAAATATTTTTGAAATTATTAAATATTATCTAATATTAATATTTAAAATTATTAAATATTTAAAAGTTAGGTAATATTTATTTTTATAAAATTTAATTAAAAAATTTTCAACATATAAATATATTTTTAAAATTAATTTTATCATGGTGAAATTAAATTATCATATCTAACTTGATAATTTAAAATTTGAGAAATTTGAATTGATTTATCCAAATAAAATATTTTAAGAATGATAGAAATTAAAATCAAAGTAATTTAAATATCAAGAATTTAAAATTCCTTAAATTTGTAAAATTCATCGTCCAAACACATCATTAGGGTATAAATTTATATTTTGGTATACCAGAGTATCTTCCGATTAAAAATTAGTAAACAAGCTCTCAAGATAATGAGATTTATTTAAAAAAATATTTTTTTATAAATATTTCTTAATATATATATATA